GGGGGCTGCCTGTGCACATCACCACGAGGAGTTGGTCACCTTACCCCAGTGCCGTGCCCAGAAGGGTTTTTTGTCATGGTTGGCTGAAAGCTTGGGGTTTGTAAACTATTAGCGTTCCTATGAAAACACTTCTCTGCAAAACGTCAATCAGCCTTTTCAAGGGGATTTTTTCACAGCTCTCATCTAAACTCCACTGTCAAATGTCAGGAGCGGATGTTTAATGAGGATCGGTTGGAAGCCCTAATTGGATGGGTATTCAACAGGCTTTTTTCTTTCTTCTTTCTATTTTTTTAACAGTTGTTGTTTTATCCTTGGGCCTCTGTTTTCACAGAGATTCTCCTTAAGTTTTAGAAGCTAATCTCCATTTTAAGCTCAGCACGCGTGGGTCCTCGGGGGCTACTTGCAGTGGGCTTTCATTGAGTGCACCCGGAGGGCAGGGAGAACACCCACCCCAACTGTCTGCCCCAACAACAGGGAGCATTTTGGGGTGTTACTGGTCCATCTCCTGCAAAAGGATGGCTGAGTGTGCAGGCAAATGTCAGGTCTGAAGGCAGCAGAGTGGTGGGTTCTCCCACTCCCAAAGGTTCTCCCTCCTCTGTGCATATGCAACGGCATGAAGAAGGGGTATTAATGTTTGTCTCTAGATGGATCTTGGTATCATATGGTCTGATTTTTGAGCGCTCCTCTGTGGAGCCAGGAGTTGGTTGTGCAGTAGGTGACAAACCTTTCCATAGACACGTCCTGCCCCAGATTCATAATGCCTGCATGCCCCGCAGCATCCGCTCTGGGCATCATTACCTCCCATCCATCACACAGCAGCATTCATTTCCCACCCGCGGTTACATTGCCTTTGCAACAGGTGCTGCAGGAAGCATTTTGAGCCATCTGTCACCAAACACGCCGTGCTGCATCACCACAGATATTCCTGCTGATATCCTATGAGCCGTGCTGGGACCATCCCAGCCCAAACCCAACACCCCACACCCTGTGCTCCCATTCCTGACATCCCTGTGCCAGATGTGCCCGGTGCTGAGCAGCCGCTTGACTCAGAGCTCCCTGCACTTACTGCAGCTTCCCAACAGCAAAACCTTTCTGAAATGGTTTGTTTTTGCATCTGAACTCAGTGCTCTGACACCTCCATACAAACCATTGTTCTTTGATTTTTCTTCCCCCCCCCCGCCCCCTCCTACAAAAAAACACAAAATTTATAGCAGATGATTATAAAAACATCCCGGTTTCCTATAGCTGTGCTTTTATTGCTTTTTTAATTAAAACCTTGGGAGGACCATAAAAGACCCATCACAGATGTGAGTGTTTCCATCCACACTGAACACACAGAACAGAGCACCGCCGCAGCTCTGCCCCATCGCTCCCCATTTCCATCCCTTTGGCTGGGAAGCCGGCCGCTGTTCCACCACACACATGACACCTTCTCTCCACCCCTAATTGCATTCCATTTCACACGTGCAGTTACCAGAATGACTTCTTCCAAAAATAAACCATGGGATGTTCAGAGCTGCCTGGCTTCCCCAGCCAAGGAATTGCAGCCCTTCTGCTCTCTCCTGGACACTCTAAAAGCGGGCTGGCATGCACATAAACCTGCCCTTCTCATAAAAGCACCAGGAAAATGCCCTGAAGGCTGTACTCGAGGCAGCTGAGCCCCACAGGTTACACACCATAAATCCTGCCCCATCGTTTCAAGGCATTTGTGACGGTGTCTTAAGTCAGCAACCTCAACAACTCCCCTGGTCTCCAGCCAGGAATAAAAGCGCTGAAGGAAATCAGGCCACAGTAATTTCCCCAAACCACAGAGCTAACATGCATGGTAATTAATTCCTTTAGTGGAGAGAGGTTTTTCTAGCTGCTATGAACTCTCCCAGGGGCTGACACAATAGCACGTCTCCTTGGCGGTCAGACTGCCTGCCCACGGCTTTCATCGCGCATCCCACAGCATTCCATGGAATGTTCAGAAGTCCTCCAGCAAGGTGCCTGCAGCAGAGCTGCTGATCTCTGGCCTTGGGCACAGGGATGTGCCCTTAGAGGGGGCGAGTGAAGCAGCATTGCCAGGCTCTGGCCTTCAGGCTGTGTCCCAGCACACACTGCCTTCCCAATGCAAGGAACAGCACAGCATGCCAGCACCCAGCATCCTTGGGGGCATGCAATCCATTTTAAATAGAAAAAAAATCCAAGTCCAAAGCTCGTGGTTTGTATTGACAAGGTAATTTTTCTGACAATTGTCTTCGCTGTGGAAGAACTTCAAAAATCTTTTCTTCAGCTTCTTTATGTTTGCCATTGAAAGTTTCTTAAATTGTGCATGCAAATCTCTAAATCTGATCACAGATGGAGCGTAAATACCACGTTATGAAGTTGAAGGACACAGCCTCCCTTTTGGGGAATAATATATTGCAGTAATTTGATGATTTTTGTTTTGTTTTCTTTTAACCACGCTTCCTTCAAAGCTTCCATCCACAACACAACATTCACCCACCCCTCTAACTAACTTGTTATTTTACAGCAAGTAAAACGAAACTGGAGACAAATGGCTGTTGTTTAGTGCCATTAGTTTCAATGGCTTTACACAATATTTGAGTCATTGGCTCGCTTCTTGCTTTGGAGGAAGCCCAAATCTGGATGAATCTACGCGCTCTACAAACCATCCATGGGGCCAGGCCAGGCCTGCCTAACAGATGCAGGTCCATATGCTTTGGCTCTGCACCCATATGGAACACTGACGTGCAGTCCAGGAGCAGAGCGTGCCACTGCTCCTCTTTTCAAGCAACCTCCCATCCAAAGTCATTTGCAGACACGAGAGCAGCTAAGCAAGCTCACTGGAACCTGTACAGAAGACACTGCAAGACTGATGGTCCAAGAATAATATTTTCCTTGCTCTGTGGTTCCTGCCGAAACCTAAATTGCAACATTTTCTAGAAAGCCATTTGTTAGGCTTTCCCAAGTGCTCGTTACAAAGCCCATTGCACTCCTATAATGTGCTTTAACCTTTGCTGCACAGGCCGTGCAAGAACACGGAGTGCTTCATTGGCACTCGCTGGAGGGATCTCTCCAGGCAACCAAAGCAGCAAACAGCTGGGGCTGTGTCACAACGCCTGGAGGGGTTGGTTCACAAGAAGCACAGGATTGGCATCAGATGGCCTGCCACCATTTCAACATAGCCGGGCTTAGCTTGTGCCGCTGGCTGCGCTCCTCCAGCAGCACTAAATGGCTTCTTCTGGCCAGGAGCTTTGGGGAAGATCTGGATGGCTTTAGGTGTTTGGCAGTGCTGTTTTTCCCAGTACTTAATCCTTGCTCAATCTCTGTATTTTATTATTTTTTTTTGGTCATTGATGCAATGTAACAGATACAGCTCAGTCCTGTTTGGAGCACAAGAGTAGTAAACTCAGCACCTGCGTCCTAAAGGAGAGCTGGGTTCCCATCCCAAGATATACAACAGGTACATTGTTTATATTTCATTTTATTATTAGTTTTACTATTAACATCATTCATTTTATTTATAGGGCCACTCTTCTGCCTTGTGCTCCTTCTTAAAGAGCTGTTTAAAGAGATGAGTGCTAGGAATGCCCATGTCAAATGGGAGATATTTCCACCCGTGGTGCTCAGCTCATGCACTGAGTTGCGAGAGCACCAGTGTAGGAAGGGTTTAGTGGGAGCTGACTGCGATTCCCACAGAACTGCTCTTAAATTTGCTTGGAAATGCTGTTAAGCAACTAAATGCCTTTGCCTTCAGCTGGATTATGAGTGCAATTGGCATGTGACAGCTTTGCTCGTGCATCGAACGGAGCCGAATGGGAGCGATTCCCAGCTGGAAAAGGAGCTTATTGCCCAATGCCTTGATATTGCTAATACTGAGGGAGAAGTTCATCCTCCTGAGAGGATGATGATTTTTTGGTTATCATTCAGACCTCTGTTCAGAGCTTTTCTCAGTCATTTCTTTACAAAAATAGGCGATGAGTAATCATCTGGGCGGTGAAAAATAATGCATGGAGTCCATTACCCGGTTGTGGTGGGCTCTCCAGTCTGGAGCTGAAGCTGGAAGCATCATAATATCCACAGTGAGGTGACCTGACGTGGAGCTGGGATTTGAGCCATCCCAGGATGTCACACACAAGATTAGCCTGCTCATGGCATCTGCTCCTCTCAATGGTCCCACAGCTGGGCAGGTACTGCGTTCACAAAGCACTTGTGAAACGTGAGTAATTCAACAAGGAAAAGAATAGGGACACTGAATGGGTGGAACAGTGTGTGGTTAACAAAGCACCACACCGGAGATCACACACTTGGTTTTACCTCTTGATGCTGAAGGGCACCCTGGAACAAACCTCACACCTGCCATCCCATCTCAAAGCTTCAAGCTTTAATTTCCATAGTTTCAAGCTTCTCTGGCATGAAATTGGGTGGTTTTTTTTTGTTTTTTTTTTTAAAGAAGTGATGCTCAAAAAGACAGCATCTCTATTATGATCTGTATAGATGGTGCAAAGGACCACCAGAGCAATACCCTGTAACAGTGCAAGGTAATGAGCAAGACATCCCCTGAGAGAGCCATGCTCACGTCAATATATATGAGTACCTACCTTTGTTCCATCACAGCACGATGAGCCAAGCTAAACCTTCAGGAGGGTCCTCATTCAGCTTGCCCAAGCCCTGCTTCAGGGTCTGTAATGACAGGCTCATTCCTTGAGCTTTGGAAGAGCCTCGACAGGGCGTGAAGTTATCCAGCAAGCAGCAGCCCAGTCCCCAAACTCTCCTCACACGAAACAGGCTCTAAAGCGGTCCAGTGGCAGGGGCCAAGGTTGGTAAAGCTGAGTCCCAGCTATCTGCTGGAGACAGAAGGCACAACACACTCCCAACAGGGATTTGCATTGGCCACAAGTGTAGCACACAAATAGCCTTGTACCTGCCACAGGTCCCTTCTCTTCCCTTTTCTCCCTATTTAACTGGCGAGGGTGTTTTACAGTCTTATCCCATCAATACATCACAACTGCACATCTGTTTCATTTCTCGTATTTTTATTCAAAAAAGAAGGTTTGCTAACAGCGATCAGTGCAGTGGCCCAGGCCCCTCCATACAACAGCTGACTTCAGCAGTCCTGGGCCTTCATCTCCATCCCTGCCTCCTCCGTACCAAACCAGGGACTTCACAACCACTCCTGAATCACGGGATGCTCCTTGACACTTCAGATGGCTTCCACCTTGCAATGTCACTCTTTGCCTCCTCCTGTCTCAGGAAACCTCAGCAGCTTAAGCAGAGGCTCACAGCCAGATTTAGTTTATCCTGTCACTAAACTCAGTAAAAAGAAAGTTAAAAAAAAACAACAACAAAAACCCAACAACCTAAACAGGTTTAAAAAGCATACATAAAATCAATCATTTTCTGGAGCTGGAAAGAAACGTTCCCCAGTGGCAGATTAGCCTACATTTATCCACTATAAAGTTGCTTACACCTTAATCTTCAGCATCTTCATCTGACACTAATTAGCAGGCTGGAGGTTCCTATGGGCATCATACTGTCTACATCCCAAAACATGAAAGAGAGCTCTTCCTTTTACCACTTGAAGCACTTTGCTTTTAAAGAAACAATATCAAGTATACCAGACCCAGGAGGTACACTTCTTAAACTTCAAAACCACAGTGGTATTAGGAGGCATAAAGGTGCAGAAAACTTGCCAGGAAAGCACTGCAACACACACCCAGGGCTCGGCTGTGCAACATTATTTGCTCACACACAAATTAAACCCAAATTGCACTCACTGAACCCTGGGCCCACCTGCACTCTGGCACCCGTTGCTAATTAGGAGATGAATTGAGGAGGCTATAGAAGCAGAAAATTAAATGGGCTAATCAGACCAATGTAGTTGCTTCCCACAAAAAAAAAAAAAGGACCCCAAATTTACAGAAAAGCCAATGTGTAACTGTAAGAACTTTTTCATATTTAGGGACTCTCAGAAAAGCACGGGAAAAGATTAATTACTTCTTTGACGTTCATTACTGTGCAAGCATCCCATTGAGATCCATCTGACATCCTATTTAACTGTTCGCAGCAACAACTAATTGGAGCTTGAAAGAAAGGCAAGAGCAGGACTCCAGGAACACGGCACAGTGTGCTAGCTCCTTGCAGGGAAGTGAAAATAAATTATTTAGACTTGACAAAGTCCCTTGAAGTCCTGCAGTCTTTCTACTTGGCTGGGTCTCAGGCCCATCGCCGATTTATCAGCAGTTATTTTTGGATGGGGAGAGAAGGCAGGCTGCTTAGCAGGTAGCTTTTGGGAATTTAGAGCTCGTCATACTTATAGTTTTCACGAGCCCTGGCAGATGTTGAGTGTCTTATACTAGAGCACAGTAAGACACTTCATCCTAATGGTGTTGGTTCGCAGCATCAAACCTCCTTCCTGCCACATTCCAGCATCTCTGCTCCTTTCTGCATTGTTCTTTAGGAAAGGAAAACCCATCCTCAAAACTCACCCTCAGCATCCTCCTAACTGTTCGCCCAGCTCATCCAGCGAAGGCTGCATCCCCCCCAGGGCCACTCGCATGCCCACACCACTTGGAATGAGTCTGCGTGCCACTCTGCCGGGCACCGGGTCCTGCAGGGCAGGAGATGGCTCCTGCTTGGTGCTTCTGAGCTGTGAGAGCCGCCAACAAACCTTCCCTGCCCACCCCGCTCCCTGCCCCTTCCCTCCCCGAGCACGGAGCCAAGAACGTGCCGGCAGCGGCGCTCTTGGCCGAACAAACTAACTACCAACCTCGGACCAGTCACAACAAACGGCTGAACGTCTACCCATCACCTAACATACCCTCAAAAACCAAGGTCACCATCACACGTCATGGACGTAGATCGAACGCCTGGCCCAGCCCAGCAAACCCAATGCTGGGCCCTCCAGATGCTCACACATGTCTCCTACCCGTTCCTTGGTGAAACACCGAACAGTTATAATACTCAGGTCAATATATATAGGTACCACGTATATATATTTGTGCCGCTGCTCTGCGCATTAACAAAGACACCCAACCCCACTGGGCTCCTTTCTGCCCCCTCCCCGTCCTGCCCCGGTTGTGCAGCCTGCAGGATCGCAGCCGGGGCCGCCCTACGTGTCCCCCTCGCATTCCCCTACAGTCAGCTTCAAGGCTCCCTGCTGGTGCAGAGTCTTTAAGGCTTTGAACTCCAAGGGCATGGTGTGCGGGCTGGCCTGCGAGGTGTAGCCGTACTTCAGGCTGTCATAGTAGTGGTACTTGACTGGCTGCTGGTTCTGGTCCAGGGGGAATGGCCAAAATCCGTAGAGATGGATGCGGTTGCAGAAGCGAGTGGCCAAGGTGTACATGAGGAGGCCAGTGGTGGGTCGCTTGATGTGCACCTTGTTGGTCAGCCAGTACCTGCAAGGGAAGAGCAGAGAACCTGTCATCCCCCGGCAGCCAAAGCTCGTGTCTCTCACTTTTTTTCTGTGACTGAGATATATTGGTGATTCAAAGTGAGAGGTTTCTGACTAGCAGAAGAGTTCTCCATGCCAAGAAAACCTCTCTAGGGGTTGCTTCATGAATAAGCATCTCCTGCTCTCTGTCTGGCGGTTACATCACGCGTGTTGCTATGGCATTGAAGCATCTCACGTCTTGGCAATCCTTTATGAAAAACAAATTGCTTGCAACGCTGGCCTTCAGTACTTCAGCCTACAATTATCTTCCAATCAACCCAGGAGATCGATACCACAGAGCAAACCATCCTCACGTCAAGTAGACTCCAGCAGCCCCTTCCTTGAAGCAGACACTCACACACACACAGCTGACAGTTTTCATTGATGAACGAAGATTTACTGACAGTAAACACAACAGGGCTGCAAAAACGTTTGCCTTTGAAGAAAGGGTCAGCTGGCTGAGAGAGCTCAAGCATCCCACCGTGCTCCCGTTATACCCAGCCACTGCTCTGCAATCCTCTGTCAAAATACATCAGAACACTGCACAGAGTCAGTCCATGAAATATGCAATAGTGCACACTGCAATATATCTGCCTACTGTAATATACCACACCTACCATGATACACCACGCCTACCACAATATACCACATGCCATAGAGATCAGATGAACTCACTTGCAAACTGTGCTAGTTTTTATGAGGGATGGCCAAAAGAAAGGGGGAAGGAGGCATCCCATAGCGATGCATGAGCAGAAATAGCATCAGCAGAAGTATTTTGGAATGCCGATAAAAAGTTACTGCAGTATCAGCACCCCTGTACTACAAAGTTTCCAGTGCCAGTGCTTTACTGCATGGACAGCTTGTCCAGTTTGCTCAGCAGGAAAGCACTGTCAGATGAGGAAATACAGAATGGAGAAAGTTGGGGTAGTAGAAGAGGTCCCCAGGCATGTTCCTTTCTCCCAAAATATGTTTGATGCCACCACTGCCTGTCTGAGGCTTCACCACGGGGTCTGCCAGCAGATTACTTATGGTGGGTATTTCAAAGGGACCGGGTGCAGGAGATTGAGCACGAAATGCATCTCCTTCCTCATTCACACTTCCTGCTGGGCTCCCCAGGGTCTGGGGCTCAGAAAGCGGGAACCCACGGGAGAGCAGAGCCATAATCCTGCAAATTAGCTTTTCACAAAAGCCATTAAAATTTAGCAACCAAGGCACAAAATGTACTCGTTTGTTCTCAGCTAGATAAGAGGAAAATTGACTTTTCTGGTGAATCAAATTCCAGAGGCAAGGGCGGGGGGACAGCAGAGTTCATGGGGGTCTAACACCCCAGGGCTGGCCAATAATGAGTATGTTGTTTTAGGGTGGCAGTCCTCCTCACCTATCTCTCTCCTCAGCATCCAGCATGAAAGAGGAAAAAAATACTAGAGGGAACAAACACAATACCCAGCCCCAAGGACTGAGCTATGGGGCAGCCAAGGCTGCAGCGGTGCTGAGGTCATCTTAACCCACAGGTGGATGAGACAGATTCCTTGATTGCTTTCAAGGTAATCACACCAGACTCCTGATGTGAGCAGAGAAAGGGAGGATATCACAGCCACTTAGCAGTGAATTAGGATACAGCAGGCAGCAGGGAAGCCACCTGGGAAGAGCTGTCCTGTCAGTGGGCCTGCTTTAGGGAAAGACACAAACCACCACTGCACCTACACATGATGCCCATGGGACATCTCACTTCACCATCACCATCTGAAGCATATTAACAATGACAAAAAGGACTGGGGGCAACCTCAGAAGAGCCCCACTAACAAACATGCACAACTAGCATCAAAAGCAGCTCTCTAACACAACAACCCAAAGCACACGTGGCAGCTGAATGCTCCAAACTTTCCAACAACATCAGGGTAGGAACCAACTCAGATGCTTAGAACGAAAAGAATGGATGCCATACATAACACACGATGGCCAAACCAGACCACTGACCACATCACAGCATTTGCAATTTGTTTCTTAAACAATGAAGGTGGGAAATGGTTTGGGGAATACTTTTTAACAACCCATTTCCGATGGAGTACAAGAGCTATGCAGGAAGATCTCATCTTCCCACCATTAGCCAATGGAGACTGTGGTCACATTCCCAGTATAGCGGAGAACAGCTGGGGATGGAAATAAAACCTAATTAATTTTGTAAATCCAAATGAGGTTGTCTGGGCGCACATGGGATGCTGTGTCAACAGCGCACCTTTAATATGTGAGGTCCAGGATTTTAATTAGGAGGAAAGATAATCTTGAAGCAGGCAGTAATTATTTTTCAAACTGGCTACACCAATCACCATAACTATTAATTGCAACATTTTATGGGAAGAGACAGCAATTAAAAGGGAAGAGCAAAGAGCAGTCCTAAAACTCAATGCCTCCTTTCTCAGAGCCTTTGCCCACGTGCTGACCTCCTTCAGAACCAGTGTAAATAAACCCCAGGGGTGCAAGCAGCTCTGAAGGTGGTCGGGCACCCGAGTGGGATGCAGCCACGAGCAGGGAGCTGAGTGCTGCCAGGCAGAAATTGCCTGAGACAGCTCTTGTTTGGAGGATCACGATAATGACAGATGGGAAATGCCACCACAATCATCGAGGCCATCTTTTCTAAGGAAACAGGCCAGACATGGGCCTGAGTACCTGAACTAATACTTGATGGCAGCTAAGGATGGAGGCTTCAGAGTGAGCAGCTCAGAGTACTGTGCTAGTGGGTGGGTGCATCCCAATGCATCCAAGAAAACCCTTGGGTAATGTGCTCTCCACAGGCGAGGGTTAAATTGCAGGATAGAAGAATTGAAAATCCATCACACTGATAAAATGAGTAAAAGCAACCCAGGTCAATGAAGAAATCAAGTTTCAGCGGCCTCAGCTGCATTATTTCGTGATACAAATCAGAATAGCTGAAATAATGCAATTTCAGACCTTTTTCAAACGGCTTACTCGTAGAAGTGTGATACAAACACAAGCTGTTGTGGAGGTGCTAGCCCCTGCCTGTCTGAAGCACGTTATCAGTCTGCCACACACATCCTGCTCCCATTAATGCTCATGAAAAGCTGTCTGAAGGCAGCTGGAGACAGCACCCTGAGGGCACCCTGTGTTCCCACTGCTGCATGCTAGGACCCACTGGTACCAACAGGGAACAGCACAGGATGGAAATGATGCATGGAGCCAGAAGAGAGACCAATATCCCCCTGTTGGGCTGTGTGTCTAGTTTCCATCATTAATTCCACCAAAATAACCAAGAGCTGCATACAGGTCAGTGCTGGATGGGTAAAAAGAGCAGCTGACCCCCCTCACGTCTTGTCCAGGAGTGCAAAAGCTGGACGTGGAGTAGTGCACCGGCATTTGCAATGCCAGTTTTAACACACAGGGCACCCAACACCCATGAGTTAAACCATTTCCACACAGACTGAACATGAGGAATGCAGCCGAAAAAGGATCATTCTGTTTCTTTCCCCCTTCCCTCCTGCACTTTTCCACTTCTTTTTACAAAGAAAAGCCTAAATCTTCTTGATCAACTGGAACAAATCAAATGTCATGGGGACTGTGTGTAAACACACCACAGCTTGGATACAACGTGCCTTATTTCCTTGTGCAGAAGCAAGAACGATGGCTCACACAAGGGGTGGTAGTCCTCCATCCTGTTCCATTCATACACTTGTGAGTCATTATTTCCCCTCCCCGTGCACCCTGTAGCTGTCTGTGTCCCTCACTTGACACCTCTGCCCTTGGCTAGGCTACCAGGTAGGCATTGTCAGGATGCAGGCAAGGAGGGACCAGGGGAGGGTTTCCATCATGGCCAATGGATGGGAAAGGCAACCTCAGAGCACTACCGTGCTAAAAACTCAAAGGCTTAGATGTTGTTTGGGTGTGGGACCCAGGGAGACATCCGAAACAAAGATAAATCCACCTTACATCCCACCAAGCTGGGTTTCTGAGGACAGGTGGCAGAGCTGTGCTATGGGAGCTGTGGACTCCAAGCAGGGCAGTCGCTGTCACGGCGCACACATGCAAGCTGTCAGGGCTGTTTGGCTGGCAAAGCTAACGGGATAGCTGGAACACTTATCGATTTTCTTCTTTCAAGAAGCTCTTAATAAAATCTTACGGGATTAGAACTGGTTACTGCCAAGGGACCCCTGTGATGGACACGGTGAGAAATGCTAGACTAGATAATACAAAGCAAACAGAAACGCGTCCACAAATTCTCCGCAAGATGCAATAGTCAGACCTCCAGGTACAATTCTTCCCTCTGCCTCCTGCATTTCATGTTATTTCTCTAACAAATGCTGCCTGGCAATAGGGATTACAAGGCTTTTTGGAGACATTAGCAGATGACTCCTAACAGGCTCACCTGCTTCCCTGTCAGAAGACAAGTGCTGTACTTGCTGGGTGTGTTGCTCAGGAGACATTTTAGAGAACCTCTTAGAATTGAGTCACACACCCAAAATGCATGGCAACGACACTGGAAACAGGCACCTTAGCTAGTGACTCTGTTTCACTGCATTCATGGTTTGCTTCTGAGCTCCTCCATCAAAATGCTGATGGCTTTCCCCATTACTGGCAGGCAGAGAGCAGAGCTGGTGAGTTTAACAGTGTGAAAAATGCCTCGGTCCTACAGCACAGTTATCCAGAAGCATCAGCACAAAAGCTATCAGCAAACATTTAAGACACCAGCAGAGCTAGGAAGGTGATGTCTGAAATGGTGCTGTTAAAGAAAACAGAAAACAAATGCTTTCTATTTATCTCAGCAATACACTCTCTACAAGTGCCCCAAATGCACTGCAAATTATAGGAAGAAGTGTTTGATTGCCACTGGAACGCATCCTGGTTTGGGGGAGAGCAGAGCAGGACAATAAGCACTGCGGTTCAAGGAGGAGTCAAGAACTCACAAATATTATTTCACTGGAAGTGAAGGAAGAAGAGTAAAGGCAAAGCTTTTGTGCCCGAATTGAAGTTGGCTGAGATAAGGTTAGTCTTTGCACAAAGTGCTATTTCTACAAGAAATAATAAAATATCTAGAAGAGTCTCTTAGCTGAAAGACTTTGCCCATTTCTTTCTGACTTCCAAATCAACTTAGGGCAGATTATAAATCAAGGGCAGCTTTATCCAGCAAAGGAAAAGGGACAGCGCTGGCACAGCAGCACAGGAGGGACATTGTAGGAACTGGGCAGTACCACAGAAGACAAATAAGTGAATTCCTAGTGATGCTGATACTCCCACAGCCCAAACTACATCATAGGAACGATGCCAAATGGTCAAGACAACCCTACGGGTATCTGAAAAACTCCCCAAGATTATCAGCACCCACCCTCAACTGCGACCAGCTCACCTGAATCGCTCTTAAATCCATCCCAGAGCCCAAACCTGAAGACAGTGCACCAAAGATAACATCAATACTGATACTACACTCGACAGAGCCCTTTGCACCCCAGCCTTGGAGGGGTCCTTCTGCACGGCCCCTTAGCCAGGCTACAGCTCACAGAGTCAGCTTTGAAGTGATCCCATCACTTCTGGCTAGCGATGGGGCTACAATATTAATTATAATCGCCATTAACCAGTAACATCCTGCTTTCCTGCTGCTGGTCTGAGAGGCAGGAGGGGAGGGCAGGCAGCAGCTCCCTTGGCTTGGAGGGCCTGATGAGGATTAGCACTGCCCAGCACCATCTGCACACTCTGCCCTTGGCTGCTTCCCTCAGTGCAGCACAAGCCACCTTTCCCATTGCCCTGCTCCAATTAAGGGCTTTCAGGACTCCAACCAAGAGGGGTCTCCTGTGCCTTCCTTCCACACAACCCCAGGGCTTACCACCATCCATTCAGCCACCAGCAGAGGTCCAGCTGTCCTGTGGGACTACATGGGGACAACGTGATGCCAGCCAGGAGCACACCAGGACGGTGCCAGGGGATGAGCAGCTTTGGGGGTTCCTCTGCCTCCACAGGAAAGCAGTGCCCAGCCCCTGGCAGCCCTGCAGAGCTTCCTGCGGGACGTTCCTGGCACCAGGAGAGGTTGCCAGCACAGGATTAGCAGCCTGTTGATTTAAAGGACTTATTACAGGAGCTTAATTCTATTTTGACAGATAAAGTAAGTCAATTACAGCTAGAAATAGCTCTGAATTTGGGTTGTTTTCCCCCCTTTTCTGTGAGCACAACGTTGTTCCCCTTCTCTTTCTTTACCTCAAAACCAGAATCTTCTGCAAAAAGCCTCTGAGGAATCTCAAACAGAAGCACCTGAGGGCAGACCCAACTTTTCTCACCCCTTGTTGCTGCCTGGGATTGACCAGATCCTTTTGGCTGGCTCGTGCTGGGGACAACTCTAAGAGCACCCCCAGTGCCTTGCAAGTTCAAAGAACAGAATGGGTTGTAAGGGGCTTTGAAGATCGTCAGGATGCCTTGGAAGTTCATTTAAGATAAACAATGCAATTAGCACTATCACAGGTACCCATGGGCTACTCAGGAACTTCTGAGCTTCTTATTGACTCCCCCATTGTCTCTGTCCCCCTATGAGCTTCCTGGCACAAAGGAGCTAACTGAGATTTCCACACCTGCTTCAGGCTGACAAACCTTGTCACCAGCTCAGCTGGCCACCACACACATTTCTCCTAGCAGAGCCCTAGCTGTGGGATGGGGAGTTATTGAGACGATATCCAGGCTTACAGCCAGCAAAGCACAGGCAGATTCAGAATTACAGAATGATAAAGTTGGAAAAGACCTCTAAGATCATCTAGGCTAACTGCCAACCCACTCACACCGTGGCTGCTAACCACGTCCCTCACTGCCACATCCCCACGGTTCTTGAACACCTTCAGGGATGGTGACTCCACCACCTCCCTGGCCGGTCTGTGCCAGTCCCAACCATTCTTTATGAGAAAAAACTTTTCTTAGTACCCAACCTGGATATTTAGGCTCGCCCTGTTGCATAGCTAGAAGACATATTCATAGAGCAGAGCAAGGGGTCCAGCTTGCACCAGTCTCCAGCCCACATCGAGGGACCAGAGTCCACTTAAGGGAGCACAAATGCAGTGACTGCTCTCCTGCTGGGGAAGCTCACAAAATCCCAGCTCTGAGCACATCGACCACGTTCTCACCCCCGGACGGCGTGCAGCAGGCGCAGTGAGGGGTAGGCAGTCCTGACGTTGATGTGGTGTTTCAGGATGAGCTCGTTAACCCACTCCACGCGCTCCTTGCCCCCCTTGGCCATGAAGGCAGGGATCCAGAGGATGCTGCCGTTGAGGCTGTGTAGGCGCTGCAGCAGCTTCTCCCGCCACGTCTCGTTCACCAGGTCCTCGAAGGCTCGCTGGATGACTGATGGGTTCATGGTCACCAGGTCCGTTTTCGTGCCCACGTCCTGTGAGTACTCCTGAACAGGAGCCAGGTTGCACCTGCAAGTGGAAATACCCAACAGCTCTTAGTGACGGGCGTGACAGAGGGCACTGAAAAGCATCGCAATGGGTTGATGCTAAAAGCCAGAGCAGCGACAGATGTGTCTGTTTGCTCTCGCTTTTGGAAGGTGGCACAGGGAGAATGAGGTCTTGCAATGAATTAGAGAGGCTCTCACCTGGAAACACTGAGCCATCCCACCATCAGGTTATCATTCCTCAATGCACCAAGATGTGTGTGCACGTGTCACCGGGCAGCACTTATAATACATGAAGCTGGTGGGTGGGTTTAAATGGGTCTGTATCTCTCCTGGTGCCATTCGAAAATAAAACATAGCAACAAACCTTCCTGGTTTGCTGCCACAGCAGGTTTGAGATGAAATGCCTTTTCCCATGTGGCAGCAGCTTGGGGTCAGGTGGGACACACAGCACAGAGAGCTGATAGTGCCCCAAACACCAGCTGGAAACCATTACCTGCTCATGCACAGGAGATGGGCTTAATGCCTACAGCCTCCCTTCTCTCCAGGAATAGCAATGTGACACCCACAGCCCTCAGCCTGAGCCTTGCTAGAGTAACATTATCCCAAACCCCTTCTTCTCTGCAGCCAGCGAGTCTCTGCTCACAGCAGCCTCAGTGGCACCAGCAGTGACAATGACACCCGTGGGTGATGGTGCAAGGATGTGTGCTGATGGACGCTGTGACCTTCAAAACCCAATTGCATTCTGTCATTTTAATAGGTGTCCCTTTGGGGCTCTACAAGCCTGGGGGGCTACGAGGGATGAGGATGGAAGAGCAGTGGGATAAACCACTAGCAACCCCTCCTCCATCATGTGGGGTTTTGTGCAGCATGCTGTGCTCTCCAGTGGTGTTTTATAGTGAAGTTACAGTAGTTAACAAGCAGGAAATGCATCCTAACCATCTGTCTCCATAATCAGCCATTACTGCTCTTTTTCCCACTTTACAGTTGGGGAAACAGAAAGAAAACCAAGCAAGTGGCATGCTGGGCCTGGAGCCTATCTGACCCATTCACTGCAGGAGTCAAATGGCTGAAAATAAACAGAGCTGTGTGCTGGACTGAGCCCACCAGGCATTGCCCACCAGATTATATGGTGGAGGAGACATCACTCAACATCCTGATCCTATCCCAATACCCAGTACAACTTTTCTCATGCAGGTTTTCTGCCTGACACAAAACCCCCTCCCTGTACTTTGCCAGAGCTGAGTAAGTGATTTGCTCCCTTGCTCAGGTTCTATTTAAAGGTGCAGCTGACATGGCCCCATCCTCCTGTGGGCAGAAGGCAGCAGCTGGCTGTAAGCAGGGGCAGAGGGGACATTATCCTCACTTCTATGTCACACAGGGACTGACTCTGTGAGCTGCTGATGGATTGGGCTGTCCTCATAATAGACTTGCCAGAAAGCAAAAGTCTGCAAGCCCATAAATCATCCGTGGGCTCCCACAGCTGAGGGATGTGCATGGGTGCTGGGGATGAGAGAGCAAGCATACACCTCTTCTCTGCTTTGAGCATCTTCTGACGGAGATGGGGTGGGGATGGGGACCCACCACCGCAGGCCCATGGGGCACTGTGTCTGCAGGGACACCAGCACCAGGAGCAGAGGCACTGAAGCATGGTGTTGGCATTGCTAAGCTTTATACTTTCACCTCCCCAAGACCCCAAACCCCCACGCTCAGCATGCAGCACGAGGTGCCCTACCTGATGACAAAGCTGTGTGTGTCGATCTCAGGGCCACAGCCGCTGCCCAGCAGCACCCCTGAGTTGCCTACGATGGCACAGGAGGGGAACTGCTTGCCCTTGAGGGGAGAGGTGCGGGGCAGCAGCTCATACAGGTTCTGCGAGACGTTCATGGTGCTGTCCCTGTCAAAGACGTAGTGGATGATGTCCCCAGGCTTCAGTGTCCCCTTCAGCACGGAAATGTCCTTCTCTGCATCCAGGAACTTCAAGATCTGTTTCCTGAGGACAGGGAAGAGATGGCCCCATCAGGTGATGTACAGAGATCATGGAATCAGTCAGACTGCGAAAGACCACTAAGGTCACCCAGTCCAACCATCAACCCACCCCCACCATTCCCACTGACCACATCTCTCAGTATCACGTTCTTGAACACCTCCAGGGCCAGTGACTCCACCACCTCCCTGGGCAGCCTGTGCCACTGCATCACCACTCCTTCTGAGAATTTTTTCCTAATATCCAATCTGATAATTTGGGTAATACAGAAGATGGCCTCTTGCTTCCCGTTTGCCATCCAGGAACTGCATGCAAACAGCTAGCTCCAACTGGATGCCCTCTTCTGCCCAACCCAGCCCCTCCAGTGGATGTTCCCTCATTGCTGGGGTTTCTGCATCCACCCTGGGCAGAGCAGTAGCACCCCAGTAGCTCTGGTTGGGAACTGGAGCTTGAGCAAGGCTGCAAGGCCAGCTGCTTTAGCCAGAAACTCATTTCCAAGCGATAGCTTACAGATATGAAGTCTAGCTCAGCAGGAGATAAGCTTTTTATTTCTTCCTTGACTTCTTTAGATGATATACAGAGGCAATTTGCCAGCTTGCACTGGAGAGGACCAGATCTGTCTCTTGTCCTATAGGTAATTACCAGTACCTGATCTTCAAAGAGAGTGTCTGGTTGTGTCTCCATTTGGATGAGGCTGGTTTAATGTTGTGCTTAATGCTTTCATTACTTCTGTCAACAACAGCTGGAGATGAAGAGTCATTTATTACTACTTCAGCTCTAGAGAAAAGAGAGATGGAGCGAGAGAGACAGGATCCGTTAGCATCCCAATGGCATTTCTAATCACTGTCTGAGGCTGTGGCTGCTGGAATTCAAACTTCATCAGAAAAGCAAAATGGTAGTTATTACCCAAACAAGAACTGAAAGCCTGTTTGTATTCTGCTACACTCAAGCAGACACAAATCCTTAAATTCCTGCTTGCTCACACGAACACAGACCTACAAGTTTACATAAAACACAGTCACAGATGTCGGGCTGGAAGAACGCATGCACATGGAAGCAGGAGCTCTGCAGGCAGGCTGAGACGCAGAACCCCAGACTTCACCGAGAGATTGGTTGTGCCCCAAAGCTCAGCTCCAGGTTAAAAACCTCATGAGAGAAGCGCAACCTGCAGTTCACCCAAGGGAGAAATGAGTTTTAACTGAGCTGCTGGCTCTGCTTGTGAGATTGGATACGTGGAACCCAAATGGGGATGTTGGCTCGCAGATCACTTTTTTTTTCTTTTTTTTCTCCTGTTGAAGAAGAAAAAGATTTCAGCATCCGTACTGTTGCTCCATGGCCAGAAATGAGTACGGGGATGAGGAAAAGCCACATAAACTCCCACTGTGGTTTTGAGATGATCACTGGGAGACCCCAGCTTTTAATCCCTGCTCTAAGAGGCAAATGAGCCCCAGCACTTCAGTGCAATTTACATCAAATGGCATAAATTAAAGGAGCCTCTGCATATTTGATTCCAGCCAGCCCTCCAAAGAGAATTACCAAGCACCTCATCAAGAAGCTGCGTATGTGTCCGCAGCCCCAAAAAAGCCTTCACACTTCAGAGCACTCTGAAAAACACACAGCCAAAAGCACTCACTACCAGCTGAAGGGAATCTCCCTCTGTAGTGCAAAGGGCTTCTTCCAGCTGGGGAATGGTCTCTAAATAAATACACTGATAAAAGGCAGGTGAAGGCTAGGGAGTGAAAAGAGGGGGACGTGGAGCAGAGCTGGTGGCCTGGGCTCGTGGCAATTCGTGCTCCTGGGAGCACATCTCCAGCCCTCAGAAGGTGCTCCTGGGGGACACTATGGCTCCAAGTACATAACGTTGCAGAAGGGGAACAAAATGTGTTCCTCAAGGCTGTTTATAAAGGCTGGCTGCCAGAGTGTCGGTGTGTGCTTATATATACCAACGCTACAGGACCTTCTCCAGAGGTTGTTTCCCGCTCTTGCATTTTGCCACACCATCTCGTGCCTTGCAAAAAATTACTACGAGGTGTCAGTGTCAAAATCTTAAAGGAAACGAGTAAAGAAGCCTTGGGAATAACGATTTTTTGGGGTCTGTTTTCTGTGTTTTGATCACGCCTTGTGACATCACCATGGAACAGCACTGCCCTGTCTTTCTTGAGTGGTGGTGTTGAGCTTCGCAACCGCATCACTCGGTAAGGCTGGGATGACACAACACCATCATAACAATAACACAGACACGGAATGAAGCTGTGATGCCACGGAATGACTGCAATGGAGCAACGTTACCCAACTGCATTACGATAAAACCGAATGGAGTTCTGATGTCAAAGCAGCTCTCTCTCCCCTAATAGCACATAGTAAAACTACGCAAATGGCAACTCTATCACTGACTTATTTTCACAATAAGTAACTCTCTCATTCTCTCAATCACCACAACTTGCAGATCCTTGGTTATTTGCAAATGATTATTGCACTGAGCTGGGGGAGGAGGGGGGAGAAACGATTAAGAAAATGCAAAGCAGAAGTGAAAAGAAACAGATACATTTGCTAAATAAGACCAGCACTATCCGGCAAAGAGGAGAAGCAGATTAATAGCTGCCTTACAGCAAAAACAAATGAACACAAAATCTAATTTACAAACCTATTAGATTTGCTATGTAAGCTGTTCACAGCTGATCTGATTGTACCTCTGCCTCCAGAACTCCTGCAAGACAAAGGAAATGCATTATTTATAAACCCAGCTCCTCTTTGCCAAGCATTGTTCAACAGTCAAGAGAACCTGCTCCAAAGGGCTCTGAGCTGAGGCAGGGCTCACACCCCACCCTGTCAGAGCGGAGATGTCCTGATGCCTGCAAAGGCCTTTTCACACTCACTGTCACCACTGCCCTGCCGCAGCTGTAGAACTGTTACAGCAAAAGAGCTCCTACCCAACCGAATGAATAATACCTGCGCTCTCTAATCAGCCATCAAAGACATCTGCTTTCTGCTGTCACAGCAGCATGCAGCCCATAGGTTGCATTAGATACATTTCTTCTTGTTTCTGTTTTTATAGATCAGGCGGGAGCAGTGCCCAGAGTTCTCCTTCACCTCTGAGCTGACAAGGGATGTCCCTGTCCTATGGTGAGGACCAACTGACCAACCTGGATGGGATTCCAGGTCTTTCTCCTGGAGAATGGAAGCCATTGTCCTTCACTGAAGACCGCCCAGCATCTCCACCCTAACCAAAATGAGCCTCTAGCCTCCTGGGAGACTTGCAGAGACCCTGTCCTCACTGTGCACCTTCTCCTGGTGACAACATGCACACCCAAGGCCCTGCTCCTGCACCTTCTGATCCCACTGGTGCCCTAGAGCCCCCAGTCTCACATTTGGTGTAAGCAGGCTGGAGCTACGAGGCCAGCTCATTCACAAGCTGGGCTCGAGACCTTGAGTGCCACTGCCAAGGAACGGCACAAGGAGGGCATCAAACCTCCCTGAGCAAAACAGTGCCAGTGGAAAGCCCAAATTTCCAACACCAGGCACAGGACTGATGCTGTAACAAAGGATGGGTGGCACCAAGCCTCTTCAGAAACCTGAGTCACTCATTCAACCCACCAATCCTCAGTTCAAAGAATACAATCTCGTCCAGCATTTAGGTGGCTGCAGAGCCCCTTCCTGATTCAGCTCACTATTTTTTAACAGGTCACAAAGAACTCTTACCCTGCTTTCAGGTGATGCTCAGTGGCAGACACATTTCAACTGCCACGTACCCACTGCTCTGTTTTATTGTTTCCACTGTACAGATATCCACATGAACACGCTCATAAAGAGAACCAAATTGTTTTCCAGCAGAAATATTATTACCTGGAAATATATATCTTAATGAAAATGTATCTCAGGAGTATGTTATTTCTAGTAGAACTGAAAAGATCCCAAATGCATTAGACACAAATGAAATAGTGAGCATGACCATTTGGTAGCATTAAAAAGATTTTCAGACTTGTGGGATGCGACGTAAACCCTTTAGTTAAGCTGAGTGCAGCCCTCAGCACTGCATAATGTGAAACCTTTGGAAATGCCACAAAGGTTGTCCTTTCTCTCCCTCCTGCAGAGACAATCTGTGGCCAAAGCCATTGAGATTCTCCCTCTGACACTCTCCTTTTCCCTTTGACAAACCTGAGAGCCAGTGAGCTGTTTCAATTTTTTTTTTTTGGTGTATCAAGGGAACAGCAGGACTAGCTTATTCCTAGAGCCTACTGGCATTTAACAAGCCTCTGCTTTAATGGGGTTCACCGCAGGGTGTGGGAGCAGGCAGGATTAGCGTGCAAACCACGCAGCCTTTCAGAGACGTCTCCTCTGAAGGAGCCTTCCAAATGGGATTCACACTCCTTCACACTTGCTGTAAGAGAGATAGGGACTGGATTAAGGGCTTAGAAAAAGAAATGCTGCTCCCTGATAAGTTCTGGTTCACCATTTCTATGAAAGGGGGTGGGAGGGAATCACAGAAATCAGGAAGTGGAGAAGACTTCTTAGCTCCATCCCATCCATGCTCGGTCATCATCAGGATCTGAAGCATCACAACGTATTATTCAAATGAATTTATCCAGTCTAAGCCTCATGTGCCCTCAGTGACAGCCCCGTGCATGCTTCCTCCCAAAATTCGAGCAGGCTCTGGAGCTGCTGGATGCAGACAACCTGGGAGCCGTGGGATGAGGCACTGCTGTGGGTTCCCTGGTACCCAAAAGGGCAAGGAAACGCTGCCTTCCTCTATGGGTACTTACAGGCTCTATATCCTATTATGACATGAAACTGCTATCCTACATGAACACGGAAGGGATGGCTCATTGGTGCTGGAGTGAGCAGGACTCTGCTAGCCAATGCCTGGCTCAGCAACAGTGGGGCTGCTGTTGGCAGGTACATGAATGCTGGCAGTGGTGCTGCTCCCTGCACCAGGCTCGGCTCCTTTTTCCAAACCACAGAGATACAGAGAGGTTGGGATATGGTACTTCACCGAAGGTCCAGTCAATCCTAAAACTCTCCTATCCAAAACCAACTGCTTTTCTGCCTTTTGTTCCTTCCTGCCCTACACTGCAACTTTGGGACACCTCCCTTTGCACTGAGCCATGATTGAGCCATCCAAGTATTCAGCTCAGCCCTCCAGTGGCTCAAAATGCCTGCAGTTCAGCCAAACACAATATTTTCCAATGTCTGCCGTAGCCTCCAACAAAGGCAAACCACCTGTACCACCTCACCATCCCATCTGGGAAGAGGCAAACATTAAGAAATGGAAGGCAGTAATTAAAGAGGCCTGTGTAAAAGCAACCAACAAACAAACAAAGCCCATTTTATTACATCTCACTGACCTGGAGTTTCAAATCTCTCGGCATCAAAAGGCGTAGACCAACCTTGATTAAAATTGCACAGATAGGCATTGATTTTGAAAAGCTTTCTAGGGCTACACCGTGTTTAGACTGAATTACTTTATTAATCTAGTTGTTATCAGTTTGACTGTATAGCCAGTCCCACAAAATACCAACCTGCTCCCTAATCCTATTATTTACAAAACGCTCTCCTTTTGATTTCTGCTTGGATGTTTTCCAGCGATAAGTCACGTCTATACGTGCTAATGCCATATTACTGGCTTACACCATCCTTTCTCATTTTTGCCTCAAGATCCTTCAAGCTGAATTTTGACTATCTAAGATATTATATAGGTCAGGAATTTCTGTGCTCGGTTGCAAAGTGACACTGATTCATATATCAGAGGATAAGAAAGAAAAATTATCTTATGATTCAGGCCCAAATTTTCTTGGATAAAGAATTCTTGATCTACCAGGTATGCAAAGACTTTTCCATTTCCTGTCAACGAATGGGTTGTTTAAGGTTTTTGTTTCCCTTTTCATCACTGTCTTTTCTTAAATAATAATCTTAATTGTCGCTCAGCACAGTTTGGTCTTGCTTTGAGCCATTTTGATACATGAAACTAGAGCTCCTCTGACTGAACAAGTAGGTCACACAGCCTCTTTGGGTGACTGGGCCTCCAACAGCAGGCTTCACACACCCCTATGTTCAGGCATACAAATTTAAAAATGTGTTATCCATGGATATTTTATAAAGTCAACCCCTGGTTCCTCCTTCTTTCCAGAACAGAATACACACGGGAAGCAGGCACAACATGCATGAATGGTCCAAGGACACAAATTCTGAGCACATCATGAACTGCATTTGCACTTCTTGTAGAGCAAATGTTCTACTCTACTATGTTGGGTCGCCTTCCCAACCTTAGGCAAGACAGGTTACCCCAGCTCTCATCCATGGAAAACAGAGCTAGTAGCATCTACATGATCCACTGTGGGACTGTCAAACTAAATGTATTCATCCAAATTCCTCAGAAAGAGAGCTCAGAGCTCCTGCTTTCTCTGAGGAGTGTAAATGAGCGATACCCACTCATTGAGTCTTCACAGCCCTCACGTGTTAGGTGCATGTCATGATTTTGGGATGGTACTGAGGAAGTGGCTTGGCCAAAACCACATGGGTAACCCCATATGCATGCACAAAAGGCAGAGCCTGCAGCATGAGAACTGGCTGCCACCTGTGTGTCTCCCACCCTGGAAATCAGCTGCTTGCAGGCAGCACCACCTGCCCACCCCCACGTTCCCCTCACTCTAGAAACACAGTTCTCAGGTTTGCTTCTCACCCACCTCCCTGCATCACACATCCTAACACCAGGATGTTTGGTATTTGCAGATCATTCCTGGTGACATTTCAGCAGTTGCTGTTGGAGGTTTTCAAGCCAGGGTGTGAAGGGGACTGGGACCTGCCAACGTGTGCCCTCCCAGGGAGCAAATTTCCTCCCTGGGGATTAATTTGGAGAACATTTCTAAAGCATTCGCCTGCTAGGATGAAAGATCCCGCAATACATCTTGATGAGACATTTAAAATCTCACTTGGATGTGTTTAAAATCTCACTTGTTCATATTGTCACAGCTTGGCAGAGAGAGTGTCAAAAACTTCCTAAATATCAGGTGCTATTTTTGCAGCTCTAAGTTCCACTCTTTCTATCAAGTCATAAGAAGGCATTTCAGAGAATCTGCCCATGTCGGGGCATTCAGGAAAATCACAGAACCAGAGAATGCCTTGGGCTGGAAGGGACCTCCAAAATCATCAAGCTCCAACCCCCTGCCAAGGTCTGCTTGCTCCCACCAGCTCAGGCTGCCCAGGGCCCTATTCAACGTGGCCTTGAGTGCCTCCATGGAAGGGGCACCCACAGCTCTCTCGACGGCTGTGCCAGGGTCTCACCGTCCTCTCAGTGAAAAATTTCCTTGTAACATCTAATCTAAATCACCCCTCTTTCAAAGCCATCTATCTACCCGTATGGATGTCAGCCTCACCTGCATCACCTGCCCAACTCAGGACCAGAAGGGATAAGGAGTTGGAGGAGCACTGAAGCAGCCCCGCCTGCCGGCTCTGCACCAACTCCGGTGTAAATCAGAGCAGGGTTTGGCTCTCAGCTCTCTGCCTGGCTGCAAATCACTGTGTGCAATCACTGCCAGCATACGCCGAGGGCACAGGAATTGAGATGCATGAGTTTGCAAAACAGAGACACCTATTGCTTATTAGGGAATAAGCCAATTAGGCAGAAATGCTTACGTGACAAAACCAGCAAAGAGGCAGCAGGAAAGGCACAGCTTCAAAGGTGAAAGGACACAAGACGGAGAAAGGGGATCC